GCATTTTCCGATATTGATTATTCACTTCGTCGCCTTGTGGGTACGTACCAAAATAAAATCAAAGTTTTAGACCATAGAATTCAAGTGAGAAAGCGACCATTGGTCACATATTTGACAGAAACGTAGTTCCCATTTCACTTCCTACAAATCTCAATTTTCAAACATACGACTCAATCACACATCGCACCATGTGAAGATGACAATGGCATGTAAAAAATAGAGATTTTTCCCTTGTATAGAGTCTGATGGGCTCTAGTCATCTGAGAGATCGATAGGGTGCACTAGTCGTCGAACACAAAAAACCGGAAAAACTATCTCGAATCTTCGGAGGGACTATTAAATTCTGATTAGAAAATTTCATTGAGAGTGTCAAAGTGCGGTTTGATCGGGTCCGAGTTCGAAAATTTTGGATCCAACAGGCTCTACCCATGAAATGGAATTGTAGGTGATCTCATTGGTGAGCAACAATTGAATATTGACATTCACCTGTTGAATTTATGGAATATTTATTGTGAAAAATTGCTCCTTGCTCTCCTTAAAGCTTCATATTTTATTAGAAGAGCTCTAAGTTATTTCTCTATAATGCTAATAAAATTATTTTAGCAATTTTATTTTTCAGCATCGTGACCAATTGTCATAGACCAATTTTAACTTGAAAAAAAATATTGCAATTTTTAAAAAATCATTCATCAATAGAGCCACAATGGCTCAGTAGCTATGTTCTTCGACACATATTCACAAGGTACTATGTGCAAACATTGGCACCATTAACCATAAAATGATCCTGGGAAAGTTACTAATGATATTTTGCCTAGGATCACTCGTCCGATAGCATGATGACTGCGTTATGACATATACTTGCTCTTGTAGTTAATTACTGTGTATGGAAAATTGAAGTAATTGAGCGTAAGAACTCAGTGTCAGACTGATCTTGTGTCCAGTGCTACAGCTTGTATTAGTCGTAGAGAACATATCGCGCTACTGAATCTGCTATAAGACAGCATCCTCTATCAGTTCGAATCGAAAAAATGTGTTGTAAAAAACCTAAATTTTGTTATTATAATTTATTCCTTAGCATACGTTCGTTTGTATGTTAAAAGAAAGTTTCAGTTTACAATATGTTTGGTTCATAAATATAGCTATATTTTATCCACAAGATCTTTTTTTTATTCCTAGGCTGGTCTTCTTAATATTGTCAAATCTTACAATGATGCTGGTGGAATTATGATTAGTTCAATTCTTCATGCTGTATGTTTAATTATTCGTAAATCTTCTGTAGTTTTATTTGATTAATTGTTAGATTGTTGTAATTTTGGTAATTGGTTCATATGCTATTATATTTATATGTTGTGATCAATCAACATCATCTTTTGAAACATTTGTTCTTATAAAATGTGGAAAAATATGGCAAAGAGTTTCTTCTATTTGTATTATATTATATACGTAAATTATTTGACGTTTTTTTTTTGTCTCTTGAGTAAAAAAATTCTTTTTTCTCGAAAATAATAAATTTTAGGTATGGTCTAAGTATAACATTTTTTATTATCATTGGTGATCAACTAGATCGATGTATGATTGATATGAATTTAAAAAATTAAAATTTTATGTTGTTTTTTTGTTTTTTTTTATTGATTTAGTTCTAACTTTTGCTGTCGGTGAACACTATTGTTCTCATTGGTATCTTGATCGTCGAGTAATGATTATAGCAACATCAATGGTCTTCGTTTTCCCTTTATGTTTTTCAAAGACAATGAAATTTCTTCGAATTCCAAGGTAGATGAAAAAAAAAAACCAAAAATTAAATATTATTAAATAAATTTTAGTATGTTTGGTGTTTTGGCAATAATTTATGTTGTTATAATGGTACCTATTCAATATTTTCTTCATCGTCCAACAGATGTTATTATTAAAAAACAGTAAAAAACAAAAATTTTAATAGAAAAAAGAAAATTTGATTTCAATTATTTTTAGTCCTGAATCATGGACAGATATTTTTTTAGTTTTACCAACAATGTGTTTTTGTTATCAAGTTTGTAGAATTTATATTTTATTAATCAATGAATAGGAAAGTTTTTTTTTTTTGTTCAGGCTCAAATAAATGCTGTACCAGTTTTTGTATCATTAAAAACTCGTGCTGATTGTATTAAAGCAACATTAGTATCAACAATTATTTTAGTTGCTAGTTATTGTTCAGTAGCTATTTGTGGTTATCTTACATTTGGAATAACTGTTGATCATGATATATTAGTAAGAAATTGATTTATATTCAAAAGAAAATCCTTTAGTTTTTGTGGTTATGTCCCTTTGGGTCCAGAGAAAGGTCTCAAAAGATGCAAAATCTGTACTTAATGATCATTCTTTTGTTACTAATTTGCCTCTAATCCCGTTGAGTCATGGCGTCGCAAAAAAAAGTGAGTCTAGTTTCTGAAAGCTCTTAAAATTTTGTATCTTTTGATAAATTACTCAAACTGTAAAAAGATGTGAACAGGATTTTAGTAGGAACTACAGTTGTTGCACTAAGTGGTAAAACCATACAATCTGAGGTCATATTTTTATTTGAAATAAAACCTAATCTATAAAGTGGTCAATGGCAAGTGAAATTGGTGATTGAGAGTTATCAAAGTGCACCAATTGTGGTTCCTATTAAAATTCCATGTATGTTTTTTTGCATTTTGACTAATATATCAAAAGATGCAGAATTTCAAGGGCTTTCAGAAACTAGATTCATTTTTTTGTGACGATATGGCTCAACAAGGTTAGAGGCAAACTACTAACAAAAGGATGACCATCAAGCATAGACCTTCTCCTTTGCAGAGTCACGACCGATTAGTAAAACTTATTATAATGACTGCTGGTATAGTGTATTTTGCAGAGAATTCTTTTCTGTATCTTTTGAGACCTTTCCTAACTTCAACGGACGATCAGAGACATAAAATATCTGAATAAAGTCATTTTTCTTAATTTTTATGGTCTAAACACAAAAATTGAAGAATTGTGATTTTCGGCAGCAAAACCTAATATTTTGAATTCTTAAGAGAGAGTCCATGACAGGATCAAGGAACCGAGGCACTGGTCAAAATTTAATTTTTTGATTTTTTATGTGCATTTGAAAGACCATCATCTAAACCCACCAAACCAAAATTTTTAGCACTACCAACCGATTGTCAAAAAAATAATCAAAATTTTCTCAGAGACATTTACTGAGATTATACTTTAACAAGTCATGGAATTTTTTCATACCA